CCCCCACCCCCGTCGCTCGCCCGCACAGCACCACCCCCCGTGCACACCTGCACTAACAGAGGGGGGTGGGCGGAGCTGCACAAGGATGTCCCAGGGGCCACAAGCAGGAGCTAAATCAATATAGTACCTGTTCCATGATGGATCCTCAAACGTTTTTCAATCTGATGGCCCCCAACCCACCTGGGTATCCTGATTCAGTAGGTTGGGGCCAGGGCGTGGGCGCTCCTCAGGTGAGTCTGATGTGTGTTCCCAACTGAGACTCAGCACCACAATGTGCACCCCCCAAACCCCCCAGTGACGCCCCTCGTCTGAATCACAGAACACAGAGAACATTCTGAGACTGACTTGGCTCTCAGAGCACCATTCCAGATGCACGGGAAAGAAGCTGATTCACTCACTACACATCCCTGTTGAGAAAAACTAATCTTTTCGATTCCATTAATCTGCCAACGTGCAACTCTGAGCAGAGAATTGTCCACCACTGCCCCAAACGAGTCAAGAGGGAACCCAAGAGCCTCCAGTTCTCCACAGAACTCCCGGAGCTCCTGCCAAAAAGCCACCCCCTCCCACCCCCCAGCACAAAACTCATCGGCCCGCAGCCAGCTGTTTCATTCAGTGCTCCCAGCTCACCCCTCGACCTCAGACTCTCTCACTCCCAGACAGTCTGTGAGCAGTGAGCTGACACCACTGGTGTCCCTGTGCCCAGCTGAGCAGGCACCAACACCCGGCGGGGCCGGTATTTGACGTCCTGTTCTGTGTCACTCTCAACACTGGGACAAGCTCCACAAAGGCAGGGGGTCCGGCCAGGTGTGCTGAGCGGGTACAGCAATAACACCTTGTTGAATGAACCAAAGGCTGCCAGAATGAAGCCTCCGCCTGCCGTCTGCCCCGTCTTCTCTCTCCCTGCTGCCTCTCCAGCAGCTTTTACTCCAACCAAACCGGACTTCCTCACGTTCCCAAAATCACGCCCACAGGCTCCTTCATCTGTGCTTGTCCTGAGCTGTTCTTTCAACTAGAAAACGTCCAC